GGCTTTTTTCTTTTTGCTTATGTGGTGCTGAGGAATGGAACCCAGGGCCTCAGGCATGCAAGGCAAGCGCTCTACCACTGAGCCACCTTCCCAGCCTGCACTGGGGAAATTCTAACAGCCTCAGTTTTCAATCAATTACATAAAACAAGGCAGATGCCAATGACCCAGGCCTATATTCCTATATTCTTAGCTACTTGGAAGGCTGAGATCTAAGGATCAGAGGCAGACAAATCTCTAATTAGCCAACAAAAGGCCAGAATTGGAGGTGGTGTAGAGTGGTAGAGTAATGGCAGTGATAGATTGGTAGTGCTGGCAGTGAGTGAAAAAGCCTAGTCCAGAACAAACTAATAAACAAAACGATATAAGTAGATATAATTATGCTCCTATATATGACATAATTTAGTTCCTAGCACACAGTAGGTGCTCAAGCTGCAAAAAATCACCTGCACTAGGGCTAGACAGAGATGCTGTGGCCACAGGCTTCCGTTTCCTCTTGATGTCACGTGTACATGGTGATCCCCAGTGTATGTTTCCCTGTCTACAAAAATGAGAAGAAAAAAAATGGTTTTAACTTTGTGATTCTTATTGTAAGGCATTAAACTCAGCCCAGATTAAATCCTTAGCCCAACAGACATATACTAACAAAAGGGGAACCACTGTCAGCCACAGTATTGACACATGGTTATTCAGAATTGATCATAACCCATAAAACATACCACTCTAAACTTTTTACCTGACTTCAGAGTAGCAAACATTCAAAACTAATTTCAATAAAATTGTGTTTCATCACATGCTGATTTTTGCACAATTATTTTTCATGAAAACTATAACCATAATTGTTCTAAACTTACTAATGAAATACCTACTCCCAAGTGATGACATACTAAAAAGTTTAATGCTCCATGAAGAGAGATATTTGCATAGAACTTTAATAAGAAATTTAACCCTTCTTCCACTAGATATCTAGATTTTTAATACTGTGTACATCACAAGTAACTGTGGCTTTTAAAAATATTAATTACATGCTAATAATATATTCCATCATTTGAACATTATACAGCTTATGTTTTTTCAGCTATATGCAATACACTGGGCTCTTCAATGCTAGAAAAGCCAAAGATTCTCTGAAAAATAATGAACGGAATAACTGGCTCACTATTTTAGCTCCCCACTTACTCTTTTCTCACAAACTAGACAGATCTGGCTCCTGATTAAGTACAAACTTGAGTCTCACCTTTACACAAAGCTTTGAACATCTGAAGCCTCACCTACCATGAATCATTATTTGACTGGTGTACATCCATCATCCTTCCTTAATGAGGCTTAATCTCCTTGAGATTAAGAACAGGGATCTTGAGAACAGGAACCATATTTACACTTCTTTCATAATTTTCTTATCTACCAACCTCATACAAGGCACATTTCTGATCTTCATTAGGTACATGCTGACCAGAAATTGGTAAAAATAAAAATTCTAAAAATCAAATGGTCAACTGGATAAACACTTAAAATTAGTTAAAATGCTAAATTTAATATTATGTATATTTTACAATTGTTATTAGCATACATTAGATGTAAAAAGGGAGTTTCATTGTGGCACTTAAATGCATATAAACAATTTTTCTCAACCAACCTTCTTCTATTACTCTCCCTCATTCCTTTCCCTTTGCAAAACAACTTTGTTTCATTGTATTCAAACAAGCAAACAAACTAGTAGACCATGTTATTCCATTCATCCTCTTCATTAACCTTCCACCTCCTGTGCTGCCCCTCATTTTCCAGTTAAGATTCTCACACATATATATACACATACATACACACACACATAGATCATAAAAGGAGTCTTTATTAATAAAATTATATGAGATGAACTCCTCCTAATTGGTAGTCACTGCTGGCAAACTAAGACAAGCAATAAGGAAAACTTGTGTACATTCCTTAAACTCTGTAAAAATGCTTTCCTCTTCAAGTGTTTCTCTTAAGACTATCTCCATGTTGAAAAGCTATTTCATAGTGGGCAGAATAACATGTTTTAGATTGAGTACATGAAAAGCATTATTTTTCTATGCCCCTACCTCATCAAGATTGGGAGAGAGAAGAAAAGAAACACTCAAACTACTCAAAGAAGACAGATAAAGTTCTTGTTTTGGGTTGTTTATTTTTTGATTGTTTTGTTTTTGTTTCTGTTATTATAGTGTGGACTCACTATAGCCCAGCCTGGCCTTGAACTCTGCATTCTTTTGCCTTGGCCTCTCACGTGCTAGGATTATAAGCATGTATCATGACTGTCATTAGGACTTTTTTCTTTCTTTTTGGTTTCAGAGTTTACAACCTAAGGAGATGTTTTCCACCTGAGAGATGCATTAGTGGGAAGAGCTTCAGAAGAGCTTTTTAGCTATTTAGGGTTAAAAAAAATCTATTGTACAAGTTAAGCTAATGTCTAAAATCTCACACTCATTTGGAGTAGCAAGTGGTTGCTAGCTTAAGGAGCTTTTACAAAATATACATGCCCGCCCCACCAAGATCCTTATTTAATAGGTTGGGCAAAAGTGGGCACTCAATCAATACGATGCTTATTTTAAAACTCGTCCCCAGATAATTCTAATGGCACCTAGTTACTAAGGAAATTACTGAGTTAAAAAACAAACAATCAAACCAGGCAGGGTGGTGCATATCCACAATTCTAGTCACCTGGGAGGCAAAAGTAGGAGATCTTTCCAATTTGAGGTCAGTCTGGGTATATGTTTTAAAAAAAAAAAAAAAAAAACGGCCCAAAGAAAAAAAAAACAAAAAAACAAATTTAGTCTAAAAAATAACAGGAGATAGTAACTGGAGAGGGGGAATTATTAAATGATCAAAGCACATTCTACATATGTATGGCAATGTTGGGATGAAATCTATTTACAATATATGCCAGTGGAAAAAAAAGAATAACAGAATGACTAAATGAAGATACATTTAGATACAAATATTGTTCTCCAGTATTTGAGCAAGTAACTTAAAGAGAAGACAAGCTTTACTCATCTGTTTCCTCTGAGTTGGGCCTCAGGGACAATCTTCCCTCAGGCCAGAATACTTTCCACCCAAGATCTTTCAGTCTGTCTGGACCAGTACTTTCCCTAAGAGCATTAAACCGTCCCACTGTAGACCATGGGGGCACTTGCAGGAAAGGATGGAGGTGGGGGAAGGGGAGGTAGCATTAAAAACAACAAACACTCTAAAAAATTGTTCCTTTAGAAAGTCACTAAATTTTTATTGTGTGAAGGTGAATGCTGAAGATTAACTATTAATTCAAAGTGTATTCTTTAAATCTATGCATAACATTTCTACTTTGCTTTCACTGCAACGAAGGAAAAGATCAGGTGAGCTGTTCAAACTGCAGTGTTACTTAGGAAACCCGGCAGATCACTATGTCCCTGGGGCAGGAATGTACTTTTAGGGGAAAAGTTACTTGAGTAATACATGCATGTTTAATAGAACCGATGTTGGCAGAAAATAACTGAAGTGACTGCTTTTGGTCTACAACAAAGATGTTGAGAGTTATTCCTAAGGAGTAAAAAGCTTTATGAGCCAATGGCAAGCAATTTAAGGAACAGTTCACCTTCAAAATCACTCCTTTTTTACAGCTATGGAAAAGTTCATTTTTGGGGGGTATAAAATAAAAATCAGACAATGTAGGAAGAGGTATTTATTTGCTATACTTTTTTTAAGTAACAAGGGAAAACAGATGTTTCTAAGGACCAAAGGTCTTACATGTCATATATTCCAATTATTTTCTTTAGTAACTAATTTATTTACCTCAATTACTTTTAAGAAAAATTTATGGGGGCCTGTCCCATGTAAAACACTGCACTGGATGATGATAGGATAAATACATGACAACCAAGCCAAGACTTACCTGCCCTAAGGGGTTCATTGCATGGCAGGAAGGCTGATTTACAAATGGAGACCTAATAATCTGAGACAGTGAGCTGTAATCAAGATGAAGTCAAGTGCAAGGGTAAAAGGAGGGAATTAAACCTACGGAAGTAAGGGAGACCCCACACTCACTTGTGATTTATCTTCAAGGTTGACTGACATTTATTAAACACCCAATTGGGGAAAGATTTTTACAGACTTGCACAAGGGGAAAGATCTAGGCCTTATGAACCATGAGCAGTGAGGGACAGAAAACCTGAATATCACAATTACCGTAAGGAACAGAGGTAGCTTATCTAGCAGGAAGAGACCCTGGTAATTCTAATGGCTCTAACTCAAAGCTAACCCTAATCTACTTTCCATAGTTAAGCCAAGGTAGAAAGGATATAATGAGGCTGTGTCATGCGACCCACAGAAGCAGAATCATTTCAAATCAGTTGGAAAGGTGAGTATAAAAAAATATATGAAGGGGCTGGGAAGATGGCTCAGTGGTAGAGCGCTTGCCTTGCATGCCTGAGGCCCTGGGTTCGATTCCTCAGCACCACATAAGCAAAAAGAAAAAAGCCAGAAGTGGTGCTGTGGCTCAAGTGGTAGAGTGCTAGCCTTGAGCTGAAGAGCTGAGGGACAACGCCCAGGCCCAGAGTTCAGGCCCCACGACCGGACCCCCCCAAAGAAAAGAAAAAAAAGAGGAAGAAAATGTTTCCATCCCTTCACATGAGCAGTAAGATGTGGTCAGTTGAGAGCTGCTATATGTAAGACCCTCCAACAGAGGACAAAAGACCATAATGAGGGAGATTCCAATAGGCTCAGAGGGCCTATAGACAACATCACAGCAAAAGCATTTCCTCAGACATAGCTGAAACTAAGGCACCAAAGAGGTTAGTAAGAGCTGCTATGCATCACAGCATCCCCACCAGAGAGAAGACTAATAAAAGGTCCCTTCCCCCAAGCCCTGGGGGTAAAACCTGAGGCTGTTTATTATAGCTCCAAAGGTCAAAATTAATAGCATGAATTGAGTCTTCTTCTTGCTCTTTGAAACTCCTTGTCAAGTGGCACAGCCAGCTGGGCACACAACTCTGATATGCAGATCATAATGTTTATGAACAGATAAAATGAATTACAATGAGCTAGGTCTATCATTTATCAGCTCTCCAATGGACAGGAAGGTCTCACTTTTTCACTCAAACACTGTCCAAATAACTCCTCTTACAGTCCATCTGAGGCCATGTCAGGTCCTCAAGTATCTGTATGACACCTTACTAGCAAATTACTACAGAAGCCAACTCAGTCTTAACACTGTCATCATCATAAGGACAGAAGAGGGAAATTAACTGTATGACAAAAATACTACTGGTTACCAGACTTGCTGAAATATTTATATGCATTAGTGCATTTTCATACCCACTAGTCCAGTAAGAAGTTTCTATTTTAAACATGAAGAAACTGAGGAATGGAGAGGTCGAGTATTTGCCCAGGGAAATCAAGATTCCTCTGTGGGTCTATCTCATATTAGTATCCATGCTCTTACTTTCATAGTGTATCTGCCAACATCTCATGGATAATGAAAAAAAATAGGAGGAAACCAGGAAATTTGTATTTATTCAGTAAAGAAAATATATA